AATGAGCAAAAAATATGATGAGTTTGTTTACAAACACATCTTTTTCCTATTACTAAATACAAAATGAATGTTTCAGGTATGGACTTTTTCATGTAAAGCTAGAAAAGATCATGTGAATTATCACCACATTTTCCATATGCACTAACAATGACTCTAGAGATGGCATGCACAGTACCAATACCATATTGCATGGGATGGCACAATGGGTAAAGATAAATACTTATGATACCTCACAAAATGTCATATAAGTGACACATATGTAGAGAGCCAATTCACACATATATTTTTATAACACTTCAGTCAGATATCATAAATCCTGTGGACTGTGTTTTTCTCTCACAAAATGACAACCCCTTCCCCACTACCCAACACCAAATTAAACCTGCTAATGAAAGTATTTTTACTAGTGATGTATTGGGTAAGTGGGCTGAGTAGACAGCTTCTTTTGAAGTTTCAGTAAGTTACCTCAATTGAGTAAGGGTCAGTTTACTACAGTACTTCTTTTGAAACAACAGTTCTAACCTCAGTGTGGAACTGCAGTAATGCAACAAGGCTCCATATACTAGGATGTCAAAGAAAGTAACAGTGCAATGTGAGAGACATAGTGAATGGGGTAGTGTGCATTAATATCCAGTGTCTAAAATAGAACTGTTGAAAGCTGAATTCTGCATGTGACTGCACACAATTAAGCACCAAGAACACTCCACAACCGGTGAGATCCTGCTGTACAGACTATACTTTTAACATTCAGTTCTACACAAAGCACAATACAAAACTAAACAATTAACATCTTTAACTATGCTACTTGTCTAAGAAATCAATTTATGTTAGGTCTGAACTTCATTGATGATAATAAATTAATAATAAAAAAATAATAAAGTTTTTTTTTACCAAATTTTACTTAACATTAAGATTCTGTACTACTGCCAAAGCCATTACTCTTACTACTGCATGTGCTCCAGGTAATCAACACATTTCTTTCTTTCTTTCAATATTCACTGTATATACTTTGAAAAAAAAAACATGTACAATGTTTGTGCATACTTTAAAACCTAAGACATTAAACACAATGGGAATTAATTATTCAAACAAGTTAATTTCACAATGAGAAGAGTGGTGTGACTATTATTACTGTTTATATGGTGCACAGGCATCTACAGAATGTCTGGATGAAAGGTATTCGAAATGAAAAATGTATATCTCTGAAACTAACTGTCATGCACATATCCAGTTTATGTCTTCGGAAAGGAAAACTCTGAAAGTTTCTTTTCAAGCTCAGCTTATGTGCATGCACCAGCTGGTGACCTTTGGTGAGCTCAGTAACAATGTCAAATCCACAGGAACAGGTTCAATGCACGTTGTGGCTAGCAGAGTTGCAAGCTCTTACGGCTGTCCAGTGTCATTTTAGAAAACAATATGGATGTCAACCTCCTATACAGTAAAGCATTGGGTTCTGTGACAATGAACTGAGGACTACAGGTAGTCTTTTACATGTAAAATCTCCTGGAAAGACACAGACCTCTGAAGAAAATTTCAATCACATTAGAGAGACATTCCAGTGAAGTCCATGCAAATCAATTTGTGCTGCTAGCTTGCAGTTACAAATTCCATGTTCAACAGTGCACAATGTGCTACACAATAGGCTTTGCCTAAGAGCGTATGAGATTCAAATGATTGATGTACTAAAACCAAGTGACCAAGTAGCACACATGAACTTCGCTATGGACATGCTAGAAAGAATTGATGGGTCACCCGATTTCCTCTGCCAAGTGTGCTTCTCATATGAGGCAACATTCCATGTCAGTGAGCTGTAAACAGGTAAAACTGCAAGATTTGGGGCAGTCAAATTCCAGATGTCACATGTGAGTTGGAGAGAGGCAGCCCCAAAGTGAACATGTGGGCTGGCTTAATGCACGACAAGTTGAATAGACCGTTTTTCTTTTTGGAAAAGACTGTGACTGGATGTTTGTACTTGGACATGCTGGAGCTGTATTTGCTGCCCCAATTACCACCTTATACTATCCTCCAAGATTGGGCGCCACCACATTCCTGCCACTAGGAATCATCTGGACTGGACTCTCCCTTCTCACATCACGCGCACGCGCAGTGACAAGAAGAACAGAGCCTCGTGTTAGCTGACGGTCTAATGTAGTGTTGTCACGATGTTTTCGAAACAGGAACAATGGAGTTGGATGAAGATTGAATGTGCTAGAGGCCGTACAGCACGACAGTGTCATCAAGGTCTTCAAGAGGCTTGCAGGGAATCTGCATTGCCTTACAGAACAGTGGCAAGGCAGGTAAAAGCCTTCAACAAGGGACGCCAAAATGTGGCAAACATGCATCAGCCAGGTCATCCTAGTGTCCGTGAAGAAGAAGTGTATTCTCTTTCCACGTTACTGGAGAGTGATCGATGCCATACGTTTCATGAGCTGGCCCAAGAGACAGGATTAGCGCACACGACTTTGCTTCACATTCTGAAGGAACGCCTGGGCATGAGAAAAATTGCAACACGACGGGTTCCGCATGATATGATGGAAATGCAGAAATGGCTATGATGCGACGCTGCTCTTAACCACTTGGAGCGCTATGAGAGCAAAGGAGAGGCTTTCTTACGCTGGATGAGACATGGGCCAAATCGTACACGCCACAAATGAAACGCCAATCGAACGAATGGCGTCATTACTGGTCACCACAAGAATCAAAAGTTTGTCAGAACCCCAGCAATGTGAAAGTTATGGTGATTTTCGTTATCTTAACGCATACCTTTCCCTGACAGTAGACTGTCAATGCGCAGTATTAGTGTTCATTTTTGGAACACAACCTGTGACAAGTTTCGAGAAAGAAGCGGTGACACTTTCTGCAGAACCCACCCATCATTTTGCAGGACAATGCTTGGCCGCATGCAGTGCAAACTGTGGCTGATTTGTTCGATTGATGGGGCTGGGAAGTGCTGTACCATCCACCATACTCCCCGGACTTAAGCCCTTGTGACTTCAACTTGATTCCTAACATGAAGGAACCACTGCGTGGCATTCGCTTCAGAACTGTTCCAGAGATTCTTCAGGCAGTAGACGCTCCATTTGAACTATCAACACAACAGGCACTGCTAAAGGTATCCTACGACTTCCACGTTGCTGGCAACGAGTTGTACACAATGCTGGTGACTACACTGAAGGACAGTAAAACTTTGAAACACGCATCTATCTTGTATAAGCTGTAAATAAATAGTTGCCACTATTAAAGTTCCAACCCTCGTATTTTGGATACATTTCATCTGGACGCCTTGTAAGATAGCATGGAAGGTGACTAACACAGAGTTCCATGTACTCATCCCAAACCATCCAAAAATATAGCCACATTGCTGGAAATTCTTGAATTTAAAGCAATTTACCCATAGAACTTCAACCTGCTGAAAGCTATTCAATCCATGGAATCAATGGAATCATCCCTCTTTCTACTACCTACTAATTCCTGTCTGTCAAGAACTGTATTTGAGTGGCCCCAATACACTGACTTGGGGGGAAGCCAAATGGTGATGCCCTCCAAGAATTACTTCATTTCTATCTATGTGCTTGAACAACTGAATGCATGACTGAATATTCTGAAACTGACCATAAATGCAAATTTAAAGAGAATGAAATTTTGTCCTCATATGACTGTCATCATATGTCATGGAAGTCAAGCTAAAGAATTATAAGTACTAGACCCCCACTGAACAAAGCGGTCTGTGGACAATTTACTTAAAAAGCAAAGAAAGCATATAAACTTTATATTCACACATAAAAATACATACCTAATGAACAACTACCTAACTAACTTTATGGAACTGAGACCTTCTTGAGAAGCCCCAATTGTCCAGCTACTCAAGAATTCCCAGTATTTTATGGAACCCGAAGGCTCATTATCATCTTCACAAGAGCCTTCCACTAGTCCCTGTCCTGATCCAAACTGATCCAAATGAACTACAGTTGTAACAAAGCAAAACATAAACAATATAACAAAATAATTAAGAAAAACACAGTTTGCAACAATCATGTAACACTTACCATGCAGATATCTGAATGCATTTCAGTTTTATACTTTTATGGTAGTTGCTACTATAATTATAGTAGCTGATATATACTGATTATAATCAGTATAATTACCTCTGTACAAAGACATCACCAGATTTGTTTTAAATAAGTTCTTTATAAACCCTGATGTCGACAATAAAAGTATAAACACCACTGTATAATAAATTTGTAATAAATCATAAGCTGTATTTGATATTTTGGATAACATAAATGAAAAAACTTTATTTCTGCAGAGTTAATTTATGACCACCTATTTGACAATCAGTGTTCTTTCAGCAGATATGATTACACTTTGTAAGTTCCTGCCATGTTGTTTCACCAAGATAATCATAAATAAAGCATTTCACATCAATAAATTAACTTATAAGAATGTGTATCTAACATATTAGCAAAATNAATTATCTCTGTACAAAGACATCACCAGATTTGTTTTAAATAAGTTCTTTATAAACCCTGATGTCGACAATAAAAGTATAAACACCACTGTATAATAAATTTGTAATAAATCATAAGCTGTATTTGATATTTTGGATAACATAAATGAAAAAACTTTATTTCTGCAGAGTTAATTTATGACCACCTATTTGACAATCAGTGTTCTTTCAGCAGATATGATTACACTTTGTAAGTTCCTGCCATGTTGTTTCACCAAGATAATCATAAATAAAGCATTTCACATCAATAAATTAACTTATAAGAATGTGTATCTAACATATTAGCAAAATTATGGTAACAAAAACAAATAAGTTAAAAGTACATGCATGAAACATGGTTTGAAATTTATGTACTAAATTAAGACACTTGATTACGATACCATTATGTTTAAAATTAACTGCTAGGGCTTCAGAAAGTTCCTGCAACAAAGCAGTAAAAGGGGCTAAGCAACAAGAAGCATGCTCAAAAAAAATAATGATTATTTGAACATACCTCTTCAACTCCAATCTTCCTACAAGCTTCTAGAAAATTGTCCACATTTCTTCGACACCTTGCCATTGTTAGTTTGGGCTGAGATAAAAAGAAAACAGAACATTTGAAATACCATAGAAACTGTTATAATCAAATTCTGGTGCCCAGAAAGCCCATGAAAACAGAAATTTGTGCACAGAAATACATAAAATGGAATAGTAAATGCTAACTCACTCTCATATCTTGGAAAAAAGCATGTAAAGTGCTTCTAAACATGGTCAAAGCTTGAGCTTGAAACATAATTTGTACATGAAAGTCCATTTACATATTCCCAATTTGTGCTCAACCTGTATCTGCATTATCTGTGCACTCTTCAGACAACACAACTTACACTTTTCAGAAATCTGTCAGGGGCACAAGTATGAAAGTGTTTCCCTCTCATGGTATTGCAACTACATGGAGAAAGCAAAGAAAGAAACATAAACACAAAACAGTTCATGAAGCATTTGGGTGAGGGGGGTGGGGTGGGGCAAGCAGGAATATGCTACTTAATTTAAAGAACCTGTAGATGATGAGTCTAAAGTTCATGAATATTTTAGACTGTCTCAATAAGTATCTTACTGTTCATATTCAAGTACTGCAATTCACAAACTTAGCAAGAGCAATCTCACAGCAGTCAAGTACATGGAATCTGCAGAGCATACACGTGTAAAAAAGAAAACAGTATTTAACTTATGTTATTTACATTTTTTATATACATATATGTGGGCTCACATAATTTAGAACAGTCTGTGTCCATGCACTGAAATATCAATCTCAGAAATTCTCTAAACCAAAAAAAAAAAAAGAGAGTGAAATCACCCACAAAGCTTGGATCCAATTATGTGTAAATTTTGAAGTTTAAACTCTATTTGTTAATATTAAATTACTGAACACTGTAAGGATGGCCCAAACATGGAATGACACATATCAGAAAAATATAAATAGATCTTTACTTTCTTCCTGTAGCTACACATTTTGTTAGAGCTGTCAAAATTTATTAAACTGTGAAGAATACTGAACTGGAGGAGTGCTTTGAAATATCGCCTTTGCTTCTGTAGTGTTTGCTTAGGTATACGATGACAAACACCATAATTTACACTGCAAGTCTGCATTCATATTTTCAGTACAACATACATACACTACTGTGATAAACACGTAAAGCAAACATAAATTTAATGATAGTAAAAGAGCCATGGTTAGCTGAAGGATGCTCAAAATTATTAGATCAAAGAAAGCAGGCCAAATTGCAATGGTTACAGGATCTAAGCGAGTTAAATGGGGATAATCTGAACAATAAAAGATGTGAAACCAGTAGGCATTTCAGGAACAAAAAGAGGGAATATCTGAAAAACAAAATGATGAGCTTGCAATGAACAGTAAGAACAAGAACATTTAGACCTGTATAGAGGAATAAATGATTTTTCAACATTGCTTTAGAATATGCCACTAGGAAGGTCCAGGGAAACCAGTTGGGACTGAAATTACACGGGACACATCAGTTGGTGGTCTATGCCGATGATGTGAATCTACTGGGTGATAATGTAGATACCATAAAGAAAAACACACAAACTTTGACACAAGTAAAGAGGTTGGTCTAGAAGTAAACACAGAGAAAACTAAGTATATGTTGCTGTCTCATTACCAAAATGCAGGGCAATATCATGACATAAGATAGGAAACAGATGTTTTGAAAATGTGGCACAGTTCAGATATTTGGGAACAACAATAACAGATCAAAACCTGATTCAGGAGGAAATTAAGAGGCGAATGAACTTGGGTAATGCTTGCTACCATTCAGTTCAGAACCTTTTGTCTTCTCATCTGCTGTCCCAAAACAAAAATTAAGAGTATACAAAACTAATTTTGTCTGTGGTTCTACATGGGTGTGAAACTTGGTCTCTGACATTAAGAGAGGAACATAGACTGAGGGTGTTTGATAACAGGGTGTTGAGGAGAATATTTGGACTGAGTGACAGGAGGTTGGAGAAAACTGCATAATGAGGAGCTTCATAACATGTACTCTTCTCCAAGTATAATTAGAAGCATCAAGTCAAGGAGGATGAGGTGGAAAGGTCATGTAGCACGAATGGGGGAGACGAATAATGCGTATAGGATATTGGTGGGAAAGCCAGAAGGAAAGAGACCACTGGAAAGACCAAGGCATAGGTGGGTGGACAATATTAAAATTGATTTTAGAGAGATAGGATGGGATGGTATGGATTGGACTGATCTGGTTCAGGATAGGGACCAGTGGAGGGCTCCTGTGAATACGGTAATGAACCTTCAGGTTCCAAAAAATGCCGGGAAATTCTTGAGTAGCTGCAGAATTGGTGGCTCCTCCAGAAGGGCTCAGCTCCATGAGTAAGTAAGTACACAATAAAGTCCAAAAATTGTAATTATGTACATTTCATTACAAAGAGCTTTTCATTTTACATCTCTTTCATGCAAAGTGTTTAATATATCTGTTCTTTTCACTGCACCACTGTTCTGATTTACATGGTTACACTGTCTGCTCCTATTATCAGCATATCAATGTCTCATCCACCTCCAATTCTCTCCTGAATTATTAGGAATCATGTTTATTTTAAAATAACTGCATTAGAGTATATTTACTTATACAATAAATTCTGTTACCTTCACAAATCCATGTCATCTTGAGTGATGTGATTAGGATATTAATCAGCTTGAAGTCAATGCTACACTGGGGTTGAAGGATAACTTACATGTCTATAAGTATGTAGGTTTTCACAGTGCTGAAGATTCATACTATGGACTTTTGGATTATAACACTGTGTAGCCTAGTAGATAAGGAGAGAGATCCAAATTTTTCTAAGGAACATTATTTAGTACCTACCTATCGGGTTAAATGGTGTCATAATCCAAAACACTTAAGTATAAATGTATATATGTTTACTTAACTGGACTCACTAGACTAAATTTCAGTCACATTATTCAAGCATTTTTTATGATTATTCTGCAAATATATTTTGGCAAAGAAATGACTTCTGCAGCATCCATGAACACAATGTAGGAGTGCCCAGCAGCAACCTGGTCAGATCTGTTTAGCCTAAGCCAAAGGAATCCAATCAAATGGGCCAACTTACCACTGCTGGAGAAGGAACATGAATGCTGGCAACAGATCGTGGTCGTACGTGGTTTGCCAAGTGGCATAAGACCACCCCATCTGTGAGTGCAGGGGCTATGTCATCTGGCAATGACATTTTCAGTCGTGTCTCAATATGCTGGAGAGAAATCATATTTAGAGGTGAAATTAAAATCTTAACTTTCAAGATATATAAACACTGAAAAACCACATGTTATTAGTGTTTATAGGTGTGTGCATATCCTACACAGTACATACATACAGTTCAACCAACCACGGATGTGAAAGTGATTGCAATTTATTCAGAAACTTCACATGTTCTGTTCAGTAGCAGTTTTGGTATCTACTGTCTCAAATATAGTGACACGGGCAGGTAGACAGAAACCTACTTGTGCATGCCAAGACATGCGACATGCCACCCCTTCTCTCACTCCCCCCTCCCACACACACATACAGAAATTCTTCAACTGTCAATATATTAGCATGCAAGATTGGAAAAAGAAAACTTTAAATGTGGTGAAATGAATGGCCTTGGTAAGCAAGGTAATACATTAAGGACTAATGAATGAAATTCATTATAGGAGAAACAATTTTGCTGATAATAAATGATGAAACTTACACTTCTTAACTGTTCTATGAGTTCTGCCTCCTCACGAGCTTTGTCGAACTCTCTTCTCATGGTGAAGCTGAGCTTTTCAGGTGGAATATCTCTATTCCATGTCATTGCCCGGCTTGCTCCTATTTTTGGTGACCTCGTACCTGGCTGGCCCAAGGTTGATGGTCGATGTTGACTGCCACTGGCAGGCACAGGAACTGGAGAATGTACATAACCCACAGAAGCAGTGACTAGTTTAGGGCTGGGAATACCAGTAGAACCAGGAAGATGGGCTAAGCTAGTAGGCGTTTTGATTGGAGAGCTTGGTTTAATATAACAACCTCCATCATGAAGTCCACTTGTAATTGCACCATTCTTTTCTCCATAATCCATTCTGCTTCCATTAACTAAAGGAGAAATCTGACATGGAGGTGAAGCTTGGAAAGTAACAGCTGAGCAATTTCTTGATGGAATCACTTTTTGAACTGGCCTTTTATGAACACCATCTTCAAATATTTGTTTTGAATTAGCCTGTATCTCTATCCTGTTCTGATGCAGGGGATATTCAGTGTTGTTCTGGAGAGCATCCTAGTTACAAAAAGATTACATGTCAGAAACTGGATCTGCTATTTAATATACCTATCATTCCCTAATATTCCATTAAACAGAAATTATATGACTCATGACTTACATGGTTTGTGTGGTTTATTAAAGCTTGTGGTTGGTGTGGGTATGAACTTCCTGGACTTCCATCTTGCTTTGACAGTTCGTTGTTAACTGGTGTGGTTTGCTGAGAGCCATCTCCGGACATCCGAGGTCTATACACGCTATCATGAGCTCGTTGTTGTCTTAAAGCTTCTTTGTACTCTCTGTGGGACAAGTAGTACACTGGTGATAAAACTACTATGCACACTAAAGCATATTCCAGTCATCAGCAATCACAAAACATAATTTACTACTGAAACCTACAGCTACATAATTTATGAAGTAGAATAAGATTACAATAATAATAATAATAATAATACTCTAGAAAAAAACACCATGATTACGAATCTTCTCAATTATCTATAAATAATAGAGAATGAACATAATGAACCCATTAAATTCTGGTCTAAGATATGAAGTGTTTTACTACAACACTTTGGGTAAAAACTGAAAGAGCACTTACAGTAATTTTGCTTTAATATTATTTATTTTAATTTCGCGCCACAGATCAAGCGGTTAGTCGCTGGCTTCCCACCGTGGCGGCCTGGGTTTGATCCCAGGTCTGGTCAAGTGGGATTTGTGGTGGACAAAGTGGCGCTGGGGCAGGTTTTCTCCGAGTACTTCGGTTTCCCCTGCCAATCTTCATTCCACCAATTGCTCCACAATCACGCTCACCTATCATCTGGGGCTGGTACAATAGGCCAGAAGTGGCCACAGTACAAGGGACTTAGTCCCACCCCACTAGCAATAATAATAAATAAAAAAATACGTATTTTGAAGTATTCAGTGTCACATTTCAATAAAGAAATTAGGTACAAGGAAATGTTTTCCCTGCATGCCCAATATGAAAAGCCATCATACTATACCTTGAAAATTTATATTATCTCTGATTATATGGGTCACAAGTAGTTAAAGCCATTTACGGTACCCAGCAGAAGCTTTCAGTGTACCAAACTTACATGGGGTGAACTGAACTGAGAGACGTGGCAATATAGCAAAATACAGGCCACAAACATTTTTGCCTAGCATATAGAAGGGCCATAATGGTGTCATGCTGACATTTTAAGCTGGTAAGGAAGGGATTAACATTCTGTACCCCACATACCAACCAGACTGACTTGGAGCATTTGTGTTAAAGCAACCACAGCCAAGGAGATTAGCTTGTTGACAACCTATTTGTATAGCATTTCTATCAACATACAGCATCATAAGATACATCAGTGTTTTTCAGAGGAATGAACAGGTTTTTACCTATTTATTTCAATTGCTGTTCAAAGGTTATTTGAGGAAAGTACTGTGAGTTTCTCTGCACAATTGCATTTATCCCAAAGCAGCCTTCACATCTATCAAGTAGTTCTATGGTAAGGAATGACACTCGAATGGTTAAAGTCAGAACAATTCCCAGAATTATGCAGTTACCAACACAAAACATTAAGCTCAACAGTCAAACATACAGTGATTTATTACTTTGAGCAAATTACACAGTGGATAAACTCATGAGTACACCAGAACCTTAACCTGAAGGTTATAAAAGTCATGAAAAGATTTTACTTACAGTACTGGTTTCACATGTACTTTTCTGGATAACTATTAATCAGGGAATACATATAACTACACAAATTATGGAAACACGAACATATAACAGCTGAATAATAAAAATGGAAATTATGACATAAAGGGTATGCAGTGAGGCACCTGCAACGAAACATGGAGAAAAATTATTTATGACAACACAAAAGTGTCTTCTGAAGATAACATAATCTGTTGTTAAAAATGATATAACAATTTATTTTCTTAACACCCAATTCACTGCTCCAGTCCATACATTACTCAATGTAGTTTTTAATTTGTTTTATCTCAATAATATCTGCAACTCTCATTCCATTTTTATCACAACTGTTCTGAACAACTTCCATATCAATAACATCGACAACATATATCACAAGACTACATTTCTAACTTCTCTTTAACATTCTGCTATGATCAAAATGTACAAAGGATGAGTTACGTGACGTACGAACCTATATGTTTGTATGTGTTCCAGAGGCCTCTTATCCTCTTGGTTTGGAACCAAAGCATTCCCATTCATAGCAAGTTCCGCTGTTGGTGACAACCCAGGTCCATTTGCGATAACTCTGTTAACATTGTTGGAAGGAAACCTTGGGCTGTAAATGGAAACATCAGTACTGACACACACCAATACAAAGCACAGCAATTAATTGCAGCCATGCTGATTCCACTTTATACGGCATGCACAGTACTACCGCTACTGAGAGTATAAAGAATTTTCTGGTAATAGAAACCTAATGCTACTAATATTCTGCAAGGTCACTATCCCACTCATGCTCATAACATACTGCACAACACAACGATTTACTAATGAGTATCGAAGAGGAAATCACACCATTGCACCATCCAATATGAATTATAGTGAGTCAGTTTATTTCATGATGAATATCATCAATTCATAAACTTTATTCTCACCCTCATAAAAGTTTGGTTAAAAGTAATGCTAAAAAGTAAAGGAATAAATTAAAAAATTAAAGATGGCAAAATTATAAACTGTTAAATGCAAATTCGTGCTCCATGACATAAGTTCAAAGGCTTTTCATTTGTCTGCACTGTTTCAGGCTGTTGCTCTATGGTATATGCTCTGTTAAATGTTATTTTAACTTAAAAGTATAGATATAGCAATAGACTGTGTACAGAAGTGTTAAATTATGACTGACAGATTGCTTCTGACATAGGTAACTTAATGCCCGTTTCGACTTCAGAAGTTACATTGTGTGAAATGAGACTGGGACATCATAACCTTTAAGAGATGGGCCATTTAAATCCTGGTAATGGCAGCAGGCCGGAGTTAATTTAAATGCCCGCCATTTTAGAGTATTAAAAATTGTAAGCATGTCACTGAAAATGCTGTAATTTCTACAATTTTTGTGATAAATGAACGAAATAAACGCTGCTTTTATCTAGAAAGAATATAGAATCAGATATTATAATTTACCGGTTTTTAAATCTGTAAAAATTGTTACACTGATTCCAAAAGAATTTTTTCCCCAATTTTGAGCGTCTGTCCACAAATATGCATACAGTTTCTGCACAAAACGTTTCTGAAGTATAAATGCATGCTGCTGACATCCTGTCTTACTGTGTCTTATCTGGCAAAAGGAGTGGAAGTTTATGTTTGTATTGCACATTCTCCAGTCCCATCGGAACCTTTCTGTATGCACGAGTGTGGGCGAAGTCTTATCGTATTTTGTCTTTCAGAAACCCTGACTGTGTATATCTCGGACTAACCACACAGAGGTATTGTTCTTGGAATAGCACCGCACTGTCAGAATGTTCAAGCCTAGCGCGTTGTGTTGTGTATAAAACATTGCAATTTCAACTATCCACCATGGCCTCATTTCGCTTGGAAGAAGCTGAAATTGAGAAGCAGCTGATAAATGACACCGATTCAGACTGTGGTACAGACGACTCTGAGTGGGGCGAGGAAGCAAGGGGCTCAGAAACCGAAGTCAACGAAGACCCATCATCTTCGTCGGCAACCTGGGGACCACCAGACCAGCATGGCAGGAGGGTTGTGAATAATTATTCCGGTGGAGCTGTGGGGTTAAATATCAATGAAGCTCCACATGTAAATAAAGATTTCACCCCTTTCTGCGTTTTCATGCTCTACTTTGCAGGGATTATCCGTCTGCTGGTGGAAGAGACGAACAGGTACTACCAGCAGTACCTACACAGACTTCAAGATGGACCTTCTCTGCGGCCTGACGTGACTGACTCCGAGATGTTTCTGTTTCTAGGAATAATCATTCAAATGGAACATGACAGTAGAGACAGACTAAAGAACTACTGGTCGACTGTAGAACAATTTGCCACGCCTTTCTACTCTAACACAATGAAACGCGACTGTTTTCTACACATTCTTCGTTTTCTTCATTTTGCAGACAACAATACAGAAACTGACAGGAATGCCGACAGTTATGACTGACTATGGAAAATTTGGACCATCTTCAACACTCTCAATGACGCATATGAAAAATATTATAACCCTTCTGAACATTTGGCCATAGACGAGATAATTGTTAAAATCAAAGGGAGGGTGATTTTTATGCAGTACATTCCTAAGAAACACGAACGTGTCGGAATCAAAATCTTCAAAATTTGTGACACCGCTGGGTATACTTATGACAAGAAGGTTTACCTAGGAAAAGACAGGACATGTGCCGACCAAGATGTGACAGCGACACACGCTACAGTTAGGGACGTATGCAGACGTACTGAGGGCATAGGTCACAAACTGTGATGGACAATTTCTTTTTGTCACCAGACTTGTTTGACAAACTGATGACAAAGGACATAACGTGCGGTAGGAGAGTCAGACCTAATTGGAAGGGCTTGCCTGATGATTTTCGACAAAGACAATTTTGACTGAAGAAAGGTGACATCTGTGTTAGGGTGAGATGGAACTTGATAGCACTAGTTTGGAAGGACAAACGTGACGTTTACATACTGACAAACATGCACTGTCCTCCAGCAGAAGGCAGGTTCTGTGATGAGCATGGAAATGCCATCAAGCCAGCAATTGTTGTTGATTACAACACGCACATGGGTTATGTCGACAAAGCGGACAGAATGGCAAACAGTTATAGCATCAGTCATTGGACCTGGAAATGGACAAATAAACTATTTTTCCATCTCCTGGATCTGACGATTCTGAACAGTTTCATCCTGTTGTCATCCTGTGGCGCAAAAATTGTCACACAGAGAATTTCGTCTCATCCTTGTGCTCAACATGCTGGAACATGCTGCAAGGGGTCAACTTTGCCCTCAACGGTTCATGGGTCGACCTCCTGCTGTGTCATCGGTGATATCTCGATTAGAGGAGGCCAGACGACATCACTGGCTGACTTCCTCTAATAAGAGACTGAGGTGCTGTGTGTGCTCTTCGCGTGGGAAACAGAGGTACATCCGGA